GCTTCTTGGGGTACCTAGACTTGCCAGTTGTGGGATTTCGCCCCAGAAGCAATCTGACTTGTTCACCCAGACACAGAGGGCTCAGGTCCAGGAAGGTGGGCGTCTTCTTCCTTTTCAGCACTCTGTACCTGGTACCCACAGCCCCATCCTTAGAGGAACTGCCCAAGCATGTTTACCTTGCCACCGTGACTCTGAACCCAGCAGGCAGAAAAGCAATCCATTAGCGAGCTAACAACAGGGAGTTAATTTGCCATCAAAATGACTTGTCCAAATTATTTTTGTACCCAGCAATTTATAGTAAATGGGCCTTTCTTTTTTCATTAGAGAAATGATTGCTGTTTTTCTTTTCCTTGGCATTTCCAGAGAGCCATTCACATTTAAAGCTAATGTTGGAACAGCAGGTTTCTACTGAAAATATTTACCTTTTCTCTGTTGGCAACTTGTCAATGCTGGGGAAAATAGATGCTCCATTAGAATCTAAATACATGATGCTTGCTTTCTCCCACATCCATCAAGTCTTTTTCTAAAACCAAAAGCACTGTGAGAGGTGTTGGGAAATCATTCCGGTCCTAGGTTTTTACATATTTTTGGATGTCTTCTGGCATTCTGTTCTTGTTTTTTAAAAAATAGGCATTTCACGTCTTATAATTTATGTGAGAAGTCCTAAAATAGCAGGTTCAGTCTTGCCAATAGAGCATCAGATTAGACTTTGGCTGCCTATGTGGCCAGCAAGGTATTCCTAGAATTAGTCCACTGCTAAATGTAAAGCTGTAAAGACACTACTTTTATTTATCCAGCAGCACAGGATACTAGAGTATATTTGTCTGTTTTTCATTGCCCTAACAAAATACTGGGGTTGGATAACTTATAAAGAAAAGAGTCTTCTTTAGCTCACAGTTTCAGAGCCTGATAGTTCAAACAGCATAGTGCTGGCTCTGGCAACCCTTTCCCACCAAGCGTCCTAGCAGATAAGATCACAGCAGGAGCACATGCTGGCGGGGGGGGGGGGGGGGGTTGTATCATGAAACAGGAAGCCAGACAGCAGCTGGGGCCAGTTCTGTTCTTCTATAACAACCCTGTCTCCCAGGACCTGACTAGGGTCCCACAAGAACTACCTGAGCCCTCCTAACCACAGCATGGCACCCCTAAGGGCCTGCCACTTCCCAATAGGCTCCCTCTTAAAAGTTCCAGCACCTCCCGATGTCACCTCACAGAGGACCTAGCTGCCCATTTGTGAACCCTTGTGGAGGAATGCATTCAAACCATATCTAAACCATAGCACAGAGCCTTGGCTTATATTTTCATTGATCTTCTCAACTCAGGTGAATATTGTAGATACTCACTTTGAGAGGTTGGGTTCATGGTCCAAGGTCATGAACACCCAAAATTCCTCCCAGAACTGTGGCCTTGGCTCCCCCCATCACCCACACCACAGGCACTGCTCCATCGTGTCACACCATCAGCTCCCTGCATGGGCTGTGGCCTCTCTTGGAGGTTTGTGGCTGAGTGGCCTTGGTGCTTGGGGCAAGCATCCTTGAAACAACCATGGAGATAAAAGTGCGGAACACACTGACCAGAGATTGGGAAAGGACAATGCCTCATGGCCACCCCTGCTCCTGCGCGCCACCCACAACTCCAAAAAGGAGAAAAGACAGTGAGTGAGCCAATGTCACGGCCCCTGTGGGCTGGAGCTAGAGTGGCTCTGTCCTGCCTCTAAAGGAAGCCTTGCCATTGGTGTCAGCCAACTCAGGGGAGATTTGGGCTCCATTATTGTCTCCCTTGATCTTCAAAGGGAAATAAAGTCTTACTATTAAAATTAAGGACCTCTGTGACTGTGGTTACAGCTCAGGGGCAGAGCATGTGCACAACATAGGAGGGGCCCTGGGTTCAGTCTTCAGTATGGAGAGAGACAGAGATGGAGGCAGAGACAGAGAGGAGGTGGGGGGCGATAGGGGGAGAGGGGACATGAGAGAGAGAGACTTTATCAAGAGACACCATAAAGTAAAAAAGACATAAACTGTGAAGTGAGAACTTTATAGCTTATATGACCAGCAAAGGACTAATCCCCAGTATAGGCAAAATGAAGCAATATATTACTTAAACATGCATGCATAAAAAGAGTAGTTTTTAAAAGACCATGGATGAAAGCTTAGAAACAACCCAAGTGCCCATCATTCAAGGAATGAATAAAAAAGATGTGGTATTTTTATATAATGGAGTACTACTCAACTTTAAAGAAAGATTGCATCGAGACTTTTAGAAGTAAATGGACATGACTTGGGACCATACTCATAAGTGAAATAAATCAAACTCACATGTATATATACCATAGTGTCTCTGTAGTGTAAGAAACTGAAAGAGTAAATAAGATACAAACTCTACAATAGATATTACGAAAGGGTAAGAAACTGCTCAAATAGGAAAAATAACTGGGATGGGGAAAGGAGGAAAGGAGGCAGGAGGGAAGAGGCTCCCAATGGGTCGTGTCCTCCTTGGATCAGGCAGGGATTTTATCGGATCTATTATTTTATTAGACTTTACAACTAGCATGTGTCAAAACAATCCTTAATACATAATAATAACAGCAAATAAAAGGGAGAAATGGTTATGTTATTACATCCATTTTTACAAATGGGGAAACTGAGGCTCCCCAGGGTCAAGCTAGCAGCTTCCTGGGTACCTAGCAGTGTCCTTTTTAATTTGGTCCTCCATAGAGACAGAAACTGTCATCACTGCAGTGTGCAGAGACAGAGGCCCCTTGAGATGAGACAACCTCCCAGCTCACTCCCTGGTCACAGCTGGTGGTCACGCTGCACCTGCCCCGTGGCATGCATGTCAGTGGAGAGAGCTCTGCTCCATGGGCCTCTCCTCTGGTGTAGGCGAAGGTGTCTACACCCCATGCCCTGTGAGCAGTGGTGCTTGGCCAGTGGTGTCTTCTTGGTCAGTGGGCTGTCCTGCAGCCAGGTAGCTTAGGTAGTCAAGGACGGAAATACAAGAGAAGACACTGTGCCAAGGCATTCAGTTTATTCCTCCTGCTCATTTTCAAGCCATAAAATGGTGAGCGACGGCTCCTTCCTGACTTTGGCCCCATCCTCCACCACTGCCATGCCCGCTTGGTTGGTACAACCCCACGGCTCTGGGCATGTGGAACTTCTGGTATTAATTTTGAGTACAATTCCCAGGCTTTCAGAGTAGGAGTTTCCAGTTCAGCTCGATGACCCCACTTAAGTTTAGGGTGCTAAGATGCTGTACCCTAACGTAGTCCTTCCTTCCCTGCTGCCACTGCTAAGCGCACCACACAGCCTCAGGGACTTCAGGGCAGGTGTTTAGGGGAAAAGCTTGAGCAAACCTTCAAAACTGCAGCTTCGTCTTCCAGGTCCCCTGTAGAGAGGAAGTTCAGAGTTTATCAATGAAGCCATAACAGGGCATTCCGTTGTTTGAAATCCATGTGCTGCCTTTTTCTTAATCCATATGCTACTGAGAGAGAATAGAGGGTAGAAAAATTAGAAATGTATGTGTTAGGATCTCTACCCAGCATTATCCATCAGAATTGTACCCACAATTAATTTGAAAGGATAGAACAGGTGGATTTAATTCACATGTAACGTTAGTTCCTGAGCACTAAGGGTAGGGTCTCTCTCCCATTTCCTCTCCTGCTTGCATCCTGGCCTCTCCCTTTTAACCTCTGGAGAAAGTCTCTATAGTTGTACCCTGGAATTTAAGAAGGATTAGCCCAAGGACACCCCAGAGATGTGAGATTTATGGATGCCGTATAAAATGGCATAGAGTTCACCTATAATCTCTACGCACCCTCCTGTGGACTTCGAATCGTCACTACATGATTTGTAGAACCTAATACAATGTAGATGCTGTGTGACTACTGTGTTGTTAGGGGGTACAACTCCACTGTCTTGTTTAGGGGACAACAACAAGCAGAAGAGTCAGCTCCTGTTTGGTACCATCATCACTTTTCCTGTACATTTTTGACGTGTGGTTGGGTGGCTCCTCAGATGCTATAGTTGGAGAACCAACTACATTTTGTCTGTTATATTCAGAGTTCCGGTTCTTGTTCCCATTATGTGTTGACATAGATTCTGGGTTAAGAGTAAGTCCAGGATAGGTAAAGCAGAGGGACCCACGCGTGGTGAGGCACCCCAGAGAGAGGGCTTCCTGGCATGGAGAATTGCAAGGCTTAACAGCCATGTCTTGAAAGAGTCTTTAATGTCACAGGGAAATGTTCCATATAAAGATCAGTTAAAAAAAGATCTGGAAAGAAAGGAAAGTATATCCTGCAGGCAAAGGAAAACATTAGAACTAAGTAACCAAAATATTATCATTTGTTATTTCTCTATTTCCCAAACTTTCATCAGAGTGGATATTATTCTTACAACCAGAAAAAGTCCCCTTTTCCATTATATCTTAAGTAACTCTAAAGAATTTGTTTTGACCAAAAGTACGGCCATTGTCCATGCAGAGCTGGGTCAGTGTAAGGGAGTCCGGGGGCCTCTGAAAGGCGACGCCAAGTTTTCTGAAGCTGGGAGGAGTCTGATTTCGTGGGAGCCCATTCACCCCTCTCTTTGAGGAAGCTGAGTTCCCCCACGGTAAAGTCCCCTCCTGGGAACGTGGAACTGAACGCAGATGAAGACGAGGTGGCCGGCCACGTCCAAGGCCCCGCTCCCCTCCTACCTGGGCTGGGCAAGGCTTCTGTTTTCCAGGTCAAAGCTCATTGTGTGATTCATCAGAAATCACACGTGGGATTGACTCATACGAGAAAGGGAAATAAACGTGAGTGACGGAAGCCACATCAGTGAGCGTATGGAGAAGGAGCGAACTTTCCAAACACAGTGTGGGAGCTCACTCTGAGGAGCTCTGTGATGCTGCAGCCAGATCTAAGCTGCTTGGGGCTCCCCGGCCTTGCCCCTTGTCACCAGGTCCATGGTGGCCGCTGCTGTGTACTCAGCATCATGGGCGCTGATGCCAAGCTTCCCCTGTGTTTTCAGGCATCCGCATGCTGGACGGCGATGTGACAGATGTGGTTGAGGCCAAGTCCTTGGGCATCCGACCCAACTACATCGACATTTACAGCGCCAGCTGGGGGCCGGATGATGATGGGAAGACGGTGGATGGGCCCGGCCGACTGGCTAAACAGGCTTTCGAGTTTGGCATTAAAAAGGTGTGAGTAACCCAGGGCTACAAGGGAGCTCATGGGGGGAGGATGACAGTGCACATTTTTAGTAGCTACATATCAGAATGACACCAGCCCCAGCCCTGAAATAGGACTGGCAAAGAAGCACTGGGGTGCCAGGGCCACAATGAGAGAGGAGTCACTTAGGGGCTCAGGGAGGCAGCTGTTCATCAAGTCGAAAGTGGCACCTGTTGGAGAGAGAGCGGAGCTGTGTTCATGTGCCCAGCCCTCTCCACCTTGGGGCCTGCCTGTGCCACCCGAGGGGTGTGCAGGTGAATGGGAGTCATAGCACCTGCCTGCTGCTTGGACTCTGCAGCTGGAAAGGGTGTCCTTGAGCTCAGCCCACCTGCACACGAAGCTGCTCAGCCGCAGAGCTTCCTGTATCTACCATGGGCTGTGTGGCTAATCCAGCACCTTACTGCAGCTGGAAGCCACAGTCTGGACCTCTCACCACCGCCACAGGCACACAGCACAGCAGAGGTGGAGTTTCTGGATAGAGCCCTAGCAGAGCACACATATCCAAGAGGCTAGCTGTCCACTGAAGCCAGGGAGGCTGCTAGGCTCTTCCCAGGAGGCCCGCGCCCCGGCCATGGTGCTCATCCCTTCAGAGCTTCGTGGGTCAGGAAGGAAGGGGTCTGGGGAGATTGCACCTGGAGGTGAACCTGTTCTGACAAGCAGGTGACACGGCAAGGCAGACCTCTGCGTGCATCCAGGAGGCCCTGGCTGGCCTCAGAGGCTCCAGGCCAGAGCATCGGGTGTGACTGACCAGTGCTGGTGGGGGTGAATGGTTCCAGCAGGAGCTTTAGGCATCTCTGGCTTCTGTGGGGACAGGAGAGGAAAGGGAAGGGGGTGCCAAGCCCATTTTATCATTTATATCATTTTAAACACTTTAAGTTCTTATGGAATTGTAACCCATGTGTAGTGTTAAAATACGGTTAATAGGGGCTGGGGATATAGCCCAGTGGCATCATTCTTGCCTGGCAAGCATGAGGTCCTGAGTTCAATTCCTGGTTCAAAAAACAGAAACTAAAAGATGGTTAATAAGCAGTAAGCCAGTCAAACAGTACCAGAGGATTATACTGATACAAGCCTTTCTTTGTTACCCTCCATCCATCTCAAGTTCTTCCCCATGGAACTCTGTGCAAGGTTTCCTTTTTCTGAGTAATATTATCTGGTTGCTTTCCTGGGTGCACTGAGTCTGTTTGCTGTCTGTTAATTTCCTCTTATTAGGTTGAGTATTCTGTGCTCAGCAGGTCCCTAGTGTTTTCATGCTCTCTCCGACTGTACTGAGTCTCCCAAGTTTCCTGTCTCCTTAGACTTTTTCCTGAGCTTGGGGCTGCTCCCTGTCTCCACCTTCCGCCAGGCACCCCTGACCCGTTACCTGCTCTGGTGCAAAGGCGGATGGATGCTGCTCCAATGTTGAGAGCAAGTTTCCTCCTCCCCTGATGTCTCCTCCCAAATGCTCCGGGGATGAATGGCTCAGAAATCACTGACTGAGAGCAGGGTGCCCATTCTCATATTTCTGAGCTCAGTGCTTACTCAATGTAAGGGAAAAAGGGAAGGAAGGAGACAGTGTTAACTGCTGCTTTTATCTCCGTGGCTTCCAATGAACACAAAGGTGGCTTCCATGGACTGTGGAGCACCTGACCTGGGCCATGTGCTGGCCCAGGTGAGTGCTGGCAGATGCAGGCATGACCAAGTCAGCCACTGCCTGCAAGGGACCACTGAATAAATAAATCACATCTTTCCATGACTCAACTCCCCTCCCACCCACTAGATCACTTGGATCTCAGACTTGATGACAACTGAAACATCCTAAAATTAAGCCGCATTTTGGCTTCGGAGAGGGTGACCTAAGTTAGAGATCGTGAAACACTTTGCTTTGAATGGTGTTCATGCTGAGCAGCTGGCGTTTCTGCAGACTTCTAAAGATGCAGGCTCTTAGGAGGAGGCCAGGTAGTGATTATTTTCAAGGGACTGTCTGAATTGTCCCCTTAGTTTGTGTGGCAGAGCCTGTGCAGGACTGTGGAAGCTGGAGCCGCAGAGAAATCTCTGCAGTCTGAATCCTGAGCAGCACTGGCTTTATCAAGCTGTCAGGGGGAATGGGGACTTGCAGAGGGGACCGAGTGGCTCCCTCTCAGTCTTGTCATGGTTTCTTAAAATACTGAGGTCATTTAGTCTTTTTTTTTAGTTGTTCTGAAGTAAAATATGTCATATAGGGACCCTTAAATCGCAGCTGTCTAAAGCTGTCACGGAAAATCCTTCTAGAAATTGGATGATCTCAAACCAAACCACATTTCCCCATCTGTGTTTCCTCCATGCTGCCCCATTTGTCACCTACAGCCTTTTTTCTGTAAAGTCTGACTTCATCTTTGGGGGATGATGTGGTCTGGTGGTAGGAGACTTTAGAAGCCATAATTTGGCATAGGGACCTGCTTAATGTTGGTCCTTATGAAGCATCACTCCTTACATGGCTCATTACTCACCAGGGAGATTAAACATCACTGCGCTAAAAACACTGGCCTTGTCCAGATGGCTGGCATTGGCAGCCTCAGGACCAGTGCTTTTGAGCTCATGTACAAAGTCTCCACTGCCCAGCAAGGACAAGAGAAAAACTTTGATGTGGTTAAGGTGATAGTTTTACTGACTAGAAATGCAGGTTTGTGGCTAAGTTTGCAATGCGCTCTTGAGCTTCTGTCCTGTGGCTTTGCTGTGAAGCCACTGGAGGATCTGTAGGGTGAACGTGAAGTCCTCAGAGACAGCTCAAACACCTCTTTAATGTCTCAGATTTAGGTGCCTCCTCTCCCTCCTTCCCATGGTCTCTTCCCAAAAACCCTTTTAAGAAGATAGAGACTGTTGACTCTGTGAGCCTGTGAGAAGGGATTGACCTAGTGGTCAGTATGCAATGTTTGGTAGAAAGATCGAAATCAGCAGGAGCTCCTGAGGTGGAATTGCAGGTCCACTTGCTGTAGTTCGGACTTGGTGTGTCCTCCAAAGGCCCATGCGTGAAACGCTCAGGCTCCAGCCTGTGCTGCCAGAGGTGGTAGAACCCAGTGGAAGATCTTCTAGTCTTGGGGGGTGTTCCAGCAAAGGAGATGGCAGAACCCCACTTGTCCTCTTCCCTGTCTCTCTTTCATTCTTCCCCGTGAGATGAATAAGCTTTCTCTGCCGCAGGCCCAGAGCAATGGGGCCAGTCCGTCAGACTGAACCTTCCAATGCTGTGAACCAAAAGAATCCTCTTCAGTTTCCAAGCTGATCATCTCAAGTGTTTCTTCAAGTTAACGAGAGGGTAACTAAGACAGCACCTTAGACCTGCTAGGTTCATGCCTGGGTTGTAACAGAGCTGCAGGTGACTCGGCCGTGTCATATTCAGGTTTGCCAAGCCCTGTTTTAAGGCACCCTCTATGCCCCTGGATTCACAGGATTGCCGCTCCACTTTGGGAAGTGACAACATTTTATAAATGATTTTGAGTGGGCTGGGGAGTTCAGATTCTTAAATGGAATAAAGATGGGCTCGTTTGGGTTGAATACCTTTTTATTTGGATTTTGGTTGTTTTCAACCAGTTTCTGATTAATCTTCCCCAGCAAGTAATTATAGACCTGGTTTGCATAATGACAGGGAAGTGTTCTGAGAAGCGTATCGTTAGGCAGTTTCATCACTGTGTGAACGTGATAAGGAGTACTGACTCAGCACTAGGTGGGATAGCCCTGGTCCTATTTGTGGTCTGGCATCGACTGAAACGTCCTTATGTGCTACATAACTGGAATCTCGTAGACACACCTATTTCCTTGGTATGTTTTACCTTTCTTCCAGAAGTTAGCTTTTGGTGAGCTCCTGGCTCCTGAGACAGGGTCCCCCTTGGAGATGTAGAGAGCAGAGTGTATGAGGCAGCTGGAAGCAGCAGGCTGACCACCAGGTCCTCCCTGTGGGGTCTGCTGGGAGCGTGGGGTTGGAACCCGAGTCCCCTTAGTGAACCTTCTAGAGCTTTCCGTGGTAACAAACAACCTGTTGAGGCATGCATGCCATAGGCTCCCCAGCGCTGGACTGTAGAGTGGACTGACACAGGGCTGAGGGAGCAGGTAGGTCCCCTCAGCCATGGGGAGCTTGAATTCTGAGGGCAAGTGTGGACATCCAGTCTGCAGCTGGGCTTCAAATCCACTTGAAGGGTTGCAGGGTTAGGTTGAAAAGTATCATTGAATCCACTCATTGTTGGACCTACGGATCTGATCCTTCCGAGCGTTTGGAAGGGAGTGGCCTCAGTGAAGATGCCCATGTGGGAAGCCCAATAGGCCCGGTTTCACTAGAGATGAATGTTGGCACCACACTCTGGAGTCCACCCACGCGTCCTGCCAACTGGACTGAATCGGTCAGCCTGATTTATTGGCTAATCATTAGCTAGCATTTGGGGCTGGAATCACCCTCAATTTGGTCAGAAATCATTGATCCTGTGAGAGGGGACAGCACAGAGCTGCAGGAACTTACGCTGACCTGCAGGACCTCACGCGCTTGTTCTCATGTGTACGTTCTTAACAATGAGAACCCCAGCACACGAGGAAAGCCGCCACCAGCACTGGTGTTGACAGTCTGACCACCCCACTGCTGGCCCATAGTTAGGACCCCCCGAGGCTACTACCAACATTCTGGACTGTAACCTTGTTTACCTTTCGCTCTTCATCCCAAAATTCATGGTTTCATCCTTCTTTGCAAAATTAGCTTACTCTCTAAGAACCTAAGGTACTTCTTTAGCTATGTGTTTAGGGAAATTCCTTCCATTTCCCACGAAACCAGCTCCTTCAGCCCAGAAAAACTATCAAAGCTATAAATTCAGCCATCATCCATAATCTCAGTATTACGTACTGCCCTTACAGTCTCTTTGATCCTTCACTATTCTGATGGCAATTAGAGGCACTGCTCTGAAATGGAGCTGCCTGGGTTAGGGCCCTAGATTTTCCTCTGAAGAAAAGAGGGGTCTTTCTAGTATTTCTGTGCCTGCGCAGTCCTGGAATTCTGCACAGTCCTGGAGGCTGTTGCCCCAGGCAAAACCGCTCCATTAAAATCAAAACAGAGGCTGTCAGTGGCATCAAGATGATCTCAGTGTATCCCTCTGAGCCCCTTGGGAGGACATTCAAGATGATTCTGCGGGCTGTCCGTGAGACCTGCCCCCCAGGTTCTGGTCACAGTGACTGATGCTTTGTTCTTGCTCCCATCTAGGGCCGGCAGGGCCTGGGCTCCATTTTTGTCTGGGCCTCTGGGAATGGAGGGAGAGAGGGGGACTATTGCTCCTGTGATGGCTACACCAACAGCATCTACACCATCTCCGTGAGCAGCACCACTGAGAACGGCTACAAACCCTGGTACCTGGAGGAGTGCGCCTCCACCTTGGCAACCACCTACAGCAGCGGGGCCTTCTATGAGCGGAAAATTGTAAGTTCTTCTGGTCTGTTGGAGGTTTGTGGCATGTGCCTCGGCCCTTTGGGGAGGACTCCTGTTCCTTAATGATGAGTTAGGTCAAGATCAGACTGTGCTGGATTGCAGGTCCCAGCCTTAGCCTTCAGGGAGCCATCTGAGCCTTGAGGTCAACCCCAGTCCCTTGGCAGCCTGCCTCAAACCCTGCCTCACTCATCTGTGCCCAGAAATACCAACCAAAACCTTCTCTGGCTTGAGCCATCTAAAAATATCATTTAAGAATGGGGTTCATTCTCATCACGGCTCCTTTTAGCTCTCTGAAATTCTGCGGTCACTTCACTCAGGATTCAGTCAACCAGTCCAGTTTTGACACGCAAAATACAGGAAGGGAAAGTGCTGGTTTACACTCAAACATTCTGGAAATCCACGTGTTCTAGGCTTCTGTTGCTACCAAAGAAATAGATCCTGGATGCTTTGAAGTCTGGTGGTGGTTTTGGTCTGTTCTGCGCACTTAAGTGAATTTATCTTTTACTCCTTCTGTGTGTATGTGACAGTGTGTGTGAGAGAGAGAAAAAAGAGAGAGAGAGAGACAGAGAGAGAGAGAGTGTGGTGCTGAGGATGGAACCCAGGGCCTTATACATTACCAGATAGGCACCGTACCATGGAGCTCCATCTCCTGTCCCCAAGTGATGTTTTTAAGCAGTAACTGATTTTTTTAATCTATGGGTGGAATTTTGTACTTCTTCCTTCCTTACATTCTTTCCTACTAAAAATAAATAAATAAATAAAAGATAAAAATAACAACAAAGAGGAAGGGAGAGCTGCCAGTCTCAATGAATGCTGAATTCAAATGCACAGTCACTAAGTTAGTTTGCAGACGTTTAAAAAATGAGACGGGGCAGCTGGTCTGACGTGGTGTAAATTTAAAGCTCAGTAGCATGTTGCCACTTTTCCTGCGGGTTGGTCACATTGTTGGAAGTTATTTGTGAATTTACCTTTACATTTTTCTGGGGGAGTGTATGTACTTCTTGTTCTCCACTTGGCTCTTCATCAGCGAAAGGTCAGCGTGGCAGGGCCCAGCCTGCTTCACTAAGATGCTAATAGAAGTTGTCACTTTCCCTCTCTGTGGGACTTTCCCTCTGCCCTGGGATGGGTGACTGAAATGCTGAGCTGTGGCCTGTTCATGTAGGTATCTAGTTTATTTGAGCACAGACTTGCTGGAGTCCTGTTAAAACACACTTGGGTCAAAATTCCACAAAGGCCTGCTGACTGACGGGGGTAGGTTGAGGCATGCATTATTGGACATCCTGCACCACAGGCTGCATGCTGGGAGGATGGGAGGATGTGTTACTCCGCCCTGGAAGTGGGGCTTGTGGCTGTGTTTGCTGGTTTAATTACACCAGTGTGTGGGTGTTCGTATGGCTGCGTATGTGCACATGCCTTAGCTATAGAATGCTTTGATTCCCCGCCCCCCTTTTTAAAATTCTCCTCTCTGAGCAACCATCTGGGGGTAGGAAGAGTGTCACTGAGAAAGGGGTAAAAGGGTTCCAGTTGCTGCGCCTGAGCTCGACTCTGAGCATATGCATGGCATTGTTCATCTGCTCCGTGAGCCCAGCTTTGCTTCAGATCCTTTCAGACATCCTGCCAGGGCACAAGTGGCAGCTCTGGACAGTCGGTGTGTCGTGACGGCAGCCAGAGGACTGTCCCTTTGCACGCTCCCTCCTTCCCTCTCTCCCAGTTCAGTGGATGCCAGGTAGTGTCTGCCAGGAGCGAGGGATGCCTTGCATGCATACATGATTTTTAGTGAAAGAAGTAAAACCTAAAGCAAGCATCTGGCTAGAAGATGAGGGTTTGTTCATTCACCGAATGAAAACCATGTTCCAGCCATGGTGCAAGAGCTCAGGAGGGACTCTGTGGCTTGGTTCAGCCATCCTTCCTGGAGAGGACCCTCTCCTCACTCCCCAGCACTCCTCCTGTGAGATTAGAGAGGCAGCCTCAGGCCTCATGAATAGTGGCACAGCTTCCTGCCCCATCACCCCTAATTTCCCTTGCTGGCCACTGTTTAGTGAGCACAGGTGTGTACAGGTGTCCAGCTATGCAGAGAGCCTCCAGAAGAGCATATTGTTGTCCTGGAAACTTGTCACCCCAGCTAAGATTTGGCCAAGAAAATGTGCTTTGTATGGAAGGATCTTAATTATTGTCCCTGGAGGAATTTATTTGCATGGGTTACAAAAATTGGCTACAGAACCTTGTAGTGGATAAGTGGGTGTGTTAGTTACTTTTCTTGTTGCTGAAATGAAATACCTTATGCCCAAAGTTAAGAGAGGAAAGGTTTATTTAGCTCACAGTTTGTAGAGGTTTCAGTCCATAATGAGCTGGCTCCAGGGCAGAGTGCATGGAAGAGAGGTAACCGTTCTCAGTGGTAGAAGACAGCAAAAAGCAACAAGAGAAGCTTAACAGCTTCTTTCTGCTCCTTTTAGTTCATCCAGACTGCAGGCATTAGGGAAATACCAAGCCAGCCATACTGCTGATTTAGTAATACCCCTTCTCCATCCCAGTGCCACGCACTCTAGATTAATCCACCTCTGAAAAAGCCCTCTGACTACGTGAAGCTTTGGGGGGACATCTAAACACAAACTGTAAACGTGGGTGTTAGTTTCTTCTTTTTCTAAGAAACCTTAGCACAAGTTTAGCAGTTTCAAATAAGATTAGTCTTTTCCGAGAGTGAGGTCCATATTTTGCACAAGAGCACAGTGACCCTCAGCAGGGGTCACCATACCCACTCTGTGTGTTTGCCTGACACCTTTCCTGTCCCTGGCTCACACTCTCCAGTGGGCCACATGTCAAGTTGTCTTGATCCCGTGAGAGGAATCAGCTTCTCCATCATTCCAGCCTCACACACCTCCCTGTCCTGCAGGTCACCACAGATTTGCGTCAGCGCTGCACTGATGGCCACACAGGGACCTCGGTCTCAGCCCCCATGGTGGCTGGCATCATCGCCTTGGCTCTAGAAGCAAAGTAAGTTTCCACTTTCCTTTCTTTTTTATTTTTCTTTTCATAGAAATGTTCGCTTCATGGTCAAATGCACGGAACATAAAACTTAACATTTCAAGCATTTGTAAATGGACAGCTCGGCAGCATGAAGGGTGTTCACACTGTTGCGTAACCATCACCACCGGCCATCTGCAGGATTCACCCATCTTCTCATACTGAAACCCTCTCCCCATCGATCACCAGCCACCTGTGTTAGTGTATGTAGGCTGTCATAAATTTTCTCAAAATTCTGCAGATCGGAGGTCCTAGGCCAAGGTGTTGAGCAGGGTTGGTATCTTCTTGACTTGCAGACAGCTGCCTTCCGCCTGTGTCACCATGTGATCACCCCTCTGTAAGAGTCTATGTCCAGATTTCCTCTTCTCCTAAGGATACCAGTCACAATTACCCCCACCCTAACAGCCACATTTCCCTTAATCACCTTTTTAAAAGACTGTTTCCAAATGTAGTCACCTTCTGAAGTACAAGGGCTTCAACTCATGACACAATCCTACCCAGCATCCTCCCTATCCCCCTCCCCGCCAGCTCCTGAACACCACCATTATGCCTTCTGTGTCTATGGGTTTAACAACTCTAGGTACTTTATACAAGTGGAATTGTGTAGTAGAAAATCTGAAATCCAAAGTGCTCCAAACTCTGAAGCTTTTGGAATATCAGCTTCATGTTCCAGAAATTCCAAATTTTGGGGCATTTTGGATTTCACAGTGTCACATTAGGGACATTTAACTCATATATGCTACATGTGTGATCTGAAACTTTTTAAAAATCCAGAACACTTCTGAGCCCAAGCATCCTAAAGAATTCTCCATCCATATTTGTCCTCTTTATTTCACTTGGCATACTTCACTTAGCACTTAGCATGCCTTCAAGGTTCATCTGTGCTAAAAATCTCTTTTTATGCCATACCAATGGGCGCAAAGTGGTTCCTTCTTTTTCTAAGCCCATTGTGCTCCTTGTAGGACCCCAGAGACTGTGTGTGCCACGACTGTAAGTCTGTCTCCCGTTCCATATCACCCCCTAAAATTATGCCATAGGCCATGATAGCTTCTCTTTAGGAATTTTAGTTTATAAACTGACAGTAAAATGGTCCCTTGTAAGCCACATAAAAATTCTGGAGTTGTTAATGTGTAAGAGGATCAGAAAGAGGGTCAGGTATGCATGCAATCATAGGGTCAAAAGCAAGTTTTAGTTTAGACATCAAAATTGGCCCAGAGCAATCCAGTGATTTACAGTAGTCACTTGTTAAAGATGAGTTTTTAAAATATTCAAAAAGAATGTTCAGGATGTTAAATCCATGTAATTACGCGTGCTTATATGTTGATTTGCACACAGCTAAAGATCATACGACCCAAATGCTACCAGTTTAGCAACAACAACAACAAAAATTCCAGCTAAATATTTTCAAATTATGGGGCCAGAAATGTTAACTTCTTTGTCCTGGGGCTCTTTTTAAATTTTCTGAATAATTAATCACTTGTGTGGAAAAGCTGCTTTCACATACTTAACAATTCATTGCTCTCTATTTTCTTCCATTCCTTATTGGAAACATGCAAGGAATTTTGTTAGAACTAAATGGAAAACAAGCCCTGCTTCATGACCAGCTGTGCCATTAAACTGGGCTGTGGACCCACCTCAGCTCAGAGAGTATCTTCCTGATTTAATTCCTTCTCAGAAGGAGAAGTAACATCTGCCTAGAGATTTTTAAATTCATAGGATTGATGACAGAAGGAGCAAATGACATCCAGAGAAAAGATCTCTATGTCTTTCTCAGTCTGTCTGTCTGTCTCTGTCTCTTTGTGTCTCTATCTCTCTCTGTCTCTCCTTCTCACTGTCAGTAGATCAGGAACCAGAGCAGAACAGAGGGTCTTGGATGAGAAGGTTGGAGGGGACCTACACACAACCTGTGTTGAGAATGAAAAAAAGACCCTTGTGTGTGAGAACTGTCCCATACCATGGGGCAGTCTTGGGACTTCACATCCATCCCATCTCCGCTGAAAAACATTTTCAGGCTGTGGGAGCAACTCAACGGTAGCATACTTACCTAGCATGCATATGGTCCTGGCATTTGATTCCCAGTGCTGCAAAGAACAGTCTTTTCAACACCATATTCTAGACATATTTTCCATACAGCTATACTTGTGATTTTATTACAGGAGTCAAAAATAACATGGATTTCCTCCTAATAAAGGGATTTATAACTTCCTTTTCCCGAAAGTGGCCTGAGGTGATCTGAGAAAATGGCTTGCTATTCACTTGGCCTAAAAAAACCCCACAAAATCATACAAATGAAGAGTCTCCCCTTGGGTTCACTTAACAGTACTTGCAAAACTGCCCAGGCCATCTGGGTGTCCATATGTAAAAAGGGACTGTTACAGCTTGTGTCTAGATGCTCCTCCAAAAATTATGCAGTCATAGATGGGGCTTTCTCAGAGGTGGCTGGGACTACAGTGTGTGATGCTAGGGTGAAGGGTGTGTGGTTACTAAGTTAGTCTACTGATTGGTTTAGCACTCACCCTAAGCCAAATAGTCCAGACAGAATACAGAAGGGTGAAAAGAAGCTGATACTGTCACTTGTAGTGTGCTGCTTGCTTCCTTCTTCCTGCCATGAACTGTTTCTCCTCTGCAATTCCCTCTGCCACACCACCCTGCCTGGAAGCCAGCTAATTATGGACTGAACTCTCTACAAACTGAGCTAGATAACCCTTTCCTCTTTTAACTTTGGGTGTCAAGTATTTTATGTCAGCCACAAGAAAAGTAACTAAGACAGCCAGCAAGTATCTGAAAGGCACTGCTTTAAAGATACAGTGTTGACCATTCCATTGCTCAGGGTGGTGAAGTTCGAGGTGTGACCAGATCTAACATCAGGGCTGGACCCAGGGTCAGTGGCCCAAAGAGTATTAAATTTTTCTGTGCATGCTTTAACATGCAGAAGTTACAGTGAACTTAAGGATTTAGAGGTAACTGTGTGGTCATCAAATGCGTCCAGGTATATAAAGTTCCCAAGATGTGTGTCTGGGCAAACTTACAGAACTCATGGTCAGACTAACCCATCCACAAACTCCCTCTACTGCACTGCTGGAAGAGGGGCTTGTGCAGAAGAAAAAGTTATCCCAGGTAAAACCAAAGAAATAAAAACAGCATGGGAATAAGTTCAGTAGAAAATAAATGCAAATAAAAGTAACAAAGAAGTCTGTTTTCTAACTTTCTCCCTTTCCTGGACCTCTTTTGCCTTCGGCTTGAAGTTCATGTCCCCTGATACCGCAGTGCTAAGCTTCCAAGGGCTAGCTGGGGCCAGCAGCAGCAGGAGGGCTGCTGTGACACACAGATGTAATCTTCGAGGCCACGCAGCCACTAGGGCTGCAGCACATCTGTGCTGTCTGAGCTTCCAAGCTGAATCTGGGACCGCTCCCCCAGGGTGCACGGCCTGCTGCTATGCCACTCAGGGCCTCTCAATCTTCCTCCAGCCTCGGGTTGGTCTAGAGCCCCTAAGAGGAAGAGGATAGAGGAAGGCACACTGGGTGCAGGAGTAGGCACGGTTGAGGTGAGAGGTGAGTGACAGGCGGGCACAGCAGTGAGAAAGACCAGAGAACCAAAGGGAGGCCTGGAAAGTGCAAGCCTGGAGGGAAGAGTGTACCCCAAGACTTATGCCTCCGATGAGTTCCTCATGGGAAGACTGGCATAGCAGGGCTACACTGGCAACCTCAACTGGTGCCACTGATACAGAAAACAGTATGACACTTCCTTGGCAAAACCAAACAAGCTGGCTGAGGTGGTACAGGTCTGTAAATCCAGCACTCTGGGATGCTGAGGCAGGAGGATTGCAAGTTCATACGCAGCCTGGGAAACTTAGCAAGATCCTATCTCAAAATTTTCAAAAACATAAAATAACTTTCAGGGGCTACAGGGAGGTGGGTCAGTGCAAAGAGCCTGGCTTTAGTCCCTACTACTGAAAAGCATAAAGAATTGCCATACAATCCAGCAACCCCCTCTGAGTTTATACGCCCAGGTAAACTGAAAACAGAGACCCCAGCAGATATTTATACTCCCGTGTTCATGGCAGCATCATGCTCAGCAGTGAAAGGTAGGAGACAGATGAATGGGTAAGCAGAGAGTGGTCCATGTGTACAGTGGAATTCAAAAGGAAGGGGCGTGTTGTAAGATGGATGACACTTGGATACACTGCCCTAAGTGAAATACGACAAATACCATGTGCATGTGATTTCACTTACGAGGTCCCTAAAAAAGTCAGACTCATGGAAACTGAAGGTGGTTTTCAGGTGCTGGGGAAGTGGAAACAGAACATTGGTGTTCCATGGGCACAGAGTTTACTTTTGGGAAGATAAGAGCATTCTGTGGATGGATGATGGTGGCGACTGTGTGGTGACATGGAGGTGCATCATGCTACCGAACTGTACACTTACAAATGGTTAAAATGCCTGCAATCAACATACACACAGGTGACTGGGAAGGTGGCTGTGATGCCTGTGTGTTCCTGGAAGCAGGTTCTTGGGTCCAAGAAATGGTAGAAATGAGACCAGACCCAGAAGAAATAGAGGCACAGGAAGGCTTTTTACTGGGACTTCTGCTTGAGACAGAAAAAATCCATAGCTCTGATCAAGAGCAGGTCAGACAAACAGTTCCCTGAGCAGAGGAAAGGGATAACTAGCATGGAAAAGGTAACCCCCAAAAGTGCCCACCCAGGTGCTCCACGGAAATAAGGGGATCACGTTTACAGAGAAGGCCTGAGCTTAGCTCTAGGTGGCTCACTGGCTGAACTCGGAGTTCAGGAGCTTGGCCGCTGTTTGCGCCTGTGTAAGTGGGATGTCTTTATAGTGACTGTATTTTTAACTCCGTCGCTGCTTTCTGGAAGACCCCTGCTTATGTCGTTTTTTGGCTCTGCTGTGAGAGCATGAAACAGCCATGATCCCCATAGGGCTCCTTCCTGGCACTTGACCTGTTTCCTCTCTTCCGGGTGGCCCTTGACCATCGTGGGTGTGTCACAATGAGCACCATCCTGAAGTGCCAGGAGCCAGGGTGCTTCTGCACTTTGACTTCCTGCCCGCGTGGCCTTCCTGGGTGGCAGCTGCTTGCGTCACATGTTCACGGGTTCAGCTGTGCCGTAGGAGCACACGTAGGTCACGTGAGCGTCCATGCTAAGCAGACTTGTGCAGGTTAAGCTCCCGGGACAGTCTTGGCATTGTTCTGGCCACCACCATTTCAATAAGTGCTAAAAAAAACAGCCTGGAAAGAAAGGTGATTTTTGTTTTTTCATATTAGGAACTAATGTTTTGGACACAACAGATGCTCATTCATCCTTGGTTAATTTTCTGATTAAAAGATTCTGGATATGCTTCATTTTGGTACACTGAAAGAGAGATAAAACTATTGTGCATATTTTTCTGTCAAACTGTGAGTGGAACCAAGAATTATACTTGTAGCTTTTCTCTCAGACGTTAGTTTAATGTAACAAAATGTATTCCTGGATTAGTCACTCCTATCTAGGTATTGCCTGTTCCATATTTTAAAGCAGCCTTTTAGAAAGCGTATAAATTAGAATATCTGGCAATACTGAGAAGAAAGAAATAATATTTTATCTTACAGTACTCTCTGCCTTGAGATAGGATGAAAATCCTCTTTCAGTAAATTCAAGATGTAACTGCTGCAAATAAAACCATTTTTCCTTATTTCTTTAAACTTTGTAATTATGAAGAAGTTCTTTGGTCTCTGTGTTATGTAGTCCAGGAAAGGGCAGTGGGCCAGCACCCTGGCCCTGACACCTGGTCCTCATTGCTGGGGACAGAATGGGGCTAGAGGAGGCATCCAGAGGGAAGATGGACCCCGATTTTAGAGGTGTTTAAAAGGCAGATCCATGTGTCTTAGGATAGAAAGCAAAAAAACCTGGTCTGTGCATGTGTGTCAGCGGGCATGCGTACTTGAAAGACATGTGGCTACTTTGCAGCAAAATGAACATACTGTAAATTTAGAATTACTGCCGCCTGCAGTTGGTGGGTCTGCATATGTAGCCCGATCTCAGGTTAGGCATAGTCTTGCTCATTATGTCAAAGAATTACCCCAAAGACCTAATAACTATTTGCTGTGACATTGAAATCTTCCTTTTCCCTGCTTCCACAATGCTCTGTTCGGCCCTGTGTAAACTCAGCCGCAGAACTGGGCAGCAGGGTGAGCTCTTACATGCTTAGGGTTTTAAACCATCCACTGTGCTCCGTTATCTCTGGATTTAGTTGCTGGAAGCTATTCTCTGCACAAAGGCTGGCAAGCGCATCCTTGCCGAGGACTTCGGCGTGAGCCCGAGGGCCTTGCTTCCCTTCGGACGTGGGCTGGTTCCAGCACACCTTCTACCGGGCTGTGTGGCCGATGCGTGGGTCTCACGGTCTGCACTTGTGTCGTTGCAGTAGCCAGTTAACCTGGAGAGACGTCCAGCACTTGCTGGTGAAGACATCCCGGCCGGCCCACCTGAAGGCGAACGACTGGAAAGTGAATGGGGCCGGGTATAAAGGTGCGCGGGTCCTGCTGGGAGGGGCAAGGGCCAGCAAGTGGCCACATCCTCGTGGTCCCCTGGCGGCCTACAGAAATGTGTCCCAACCGATATCAGTGTTAATTATGTGTCACTGTGGGATGATAAACACTTACGCAGTGATTTTTTAAAAGTATTCTAAAGCCCAGAGCGAATGTGTAGGTGAATCTGGTAAACTTTGAGGTTCTGGGAGTCCAGGGACCCTACTTTCCATGACTTTTGCCATATTTGGGGGCCGCCTGTGCTTAAATACTCAACTAGTTCTCTTTAAAATGACTTTTTTATGTAAAGAAATGTACTTAAAGGAAACTTTATTATGTCGAGCAAAACATGAGTTTGAATTTGTAGTTTTTTTATATACATGAAAACAAATCCATCATTAGTATTAATATTAGTATTAGTATTAGGTACCGGGAATCAAACTCACGACCTTGCGCTTACTGGGCAAGCACTTGAGCCGCTGAGCTAAACTCCAGCCCAAATCCATCATTATTAAAATAATTTTAAAAATATGTTTGTATTCCATCTAAATGCAACTGGCATTCTCACCCCTGAGGTCCTTTTGAAATTAACTCTCGGTTTCCTCACGTGTGCAGCGAGGACATTGAGACTGTTATATAAGTGAATTTCGAACTAAAATTTTTGGCCAGCTTTGTTTGATAAAAGTAACTCATGGGACAGGCATGCCTCTACCCTCATTCCAGCATGGTACAGACCCAGATACCATGAAATCACCCAACAGTGAGGGCTTGATCAACCCAGATACTTGGGTCCTGTGGAACAGGTAATTACAGAACTGTGATCACTGGCTTTGTTTGTCTAACTTTTTTAACCAAGTCACTTGAAAACATTTTTGATCAGCCATGGCATATTGGGGTGGTGCTGTTCCCCTCTTTTTAGAAACTCAGGTCCAGCTATTTTGACCTCAAGCCCAATACAACTATCTGTACAATGTAGGGCAGGCATTGTTACCGTAGACAGGGGGACACGCCTTTTCACGTGGAGGCCGCTGCTTGGGCCCCACCCTCCTCGCTGGCAGGAGTGTTGGTGGCAGTGCTGTGCTGTAACAAGAGCTGACCCACATTTCAATTTCGGTCTAATTAAATGGGAAAATAGATCATATCTAGTTCTTGACCTTGCCTCTTAAATTAAACTTTGAAACTCTTCACCCTTGGCCAAATTAAACACTGGATCAGGCCAGCCCACTAGCACTCTTGCCTGTGTGCTGAGCTATATTGCTTGTCCTGAGTGCCTTGGGAACTCAGCAGGGAAAGAAAATGGTAACAGAAAAGAAAAAATGATGAGCCCAGCTGGCCTTGTTCTTGCTGTGTTTGTTGTACGTCTTAGTCATGTGAACTGTGAGGTCTCGGGGTTCATTTTCTCCAGTGCTGGGGTGCAGCCTAGGTCTCTATACAGGCTCGACAAGTGCTCTGCCACTGGGCTACACCCCTCAGCCCTGAGGTCTCAGATTTTGGGTTTTTTTTTTTTATCTTGTCTCAAATTAAGGAAGCACAGATGTTGACAGTCCTTGTAACATAAAGAAACCTGTCTTTGTCCCCCAAAATGGATGTCCTAGGCCCATGCAGCCAGGACCCTGGAACGCCTCTCAGAGACACCCCTCTGCAACTTGGGCTTTTCAGGGGCCCTAGTGGGGACATAGTTGGTTGCAGTTCCATCAGATCACACAGAGTGACGGCCCGCCTTGCTTCCTTCCTGGGGGAGGCCAGAGAGCCTGGCTCTGAAGGCCCTATCTTTTCAGTTAGCCATCTCTATGGATTTGGCTTGGTGGATGCAGAAGCTATTGTCCTGGAGGCAAAGAAGTGGACAGCAGTGCCATCCCAGCACATGTGCATAGCCACCTCGGACAAGAGGCCCAGGTAAGGCTGCAGCATCGGCGACCTCTCAGTACAGGGGACCTACCTCTGGCACAAGGTGTGGTGGTGGTGGGAGGTGTTTGTGTGTGCATTCCTGTGCACATGGGCAGGAACCCATCTGGGCGAGTGCATGGCTGGGCTGGTCTGAGTGTATCTGCAGTTTCTCTTATAGATTGTACAGCTAGGAAAAGATACTCTTCTGAGTTCACAACCACCCTGAGGCCTCTTCTCCTTTTGCATCAGATTGTACTATGATAGAGACCCAGGTCCTCATCCTAAATCCTTCAGTACAATAGTGAAAATTCTTATCCATAAGGCTGAGCATAGCTGGCTGGACCAGCGCTCTATCCTGCCCAGCAGGGTTTAATGGGGAACAGCCCAGAATGTCCTTCCTGTTCCTCCCCACCCACTATAGGTTGGCGTCCTTGTCCCAGCCCAGCCTGCCTGCCCTAGTTACTCGATGTGAATCCATTCGATTTAGACAAGAATGGCAGCGAATACTGCTTCTCGGTGGCAGGCTGGTTTTTACACAGTGTGCACAGCAGCTCTACGCTGCTTTTATCCAGCCTTATAAACCCTTTTGCTTTAAGAGTTGGGATTTTTTAACAAGCCTCGAGTAGTGGGCTGTAGGGCCCTGACTTCATCATCTGTGCACTGCCCCTTGGAGGAAGGTATCCTAAATCAGTTACATATGTTCATTCAGATATTTATGTACACAAAAATCAGCTGTAAAGCAAACCAGATGGTGGGAAACCTACTCTATTCAAAAATCAGATGGTCCTCCTGAATTCTGCTGCCGGAGCTGGGCTTTCTAAGAAAGTGAACAAGACTGCTCTGGGATAAAGAACAGTGCGTTTCTAGCCATAACTCTGTGTTACCTTTAGAAAGTGTGTGTTTGAAACAGATGAGGAAGTGCTCAAAAGTGAGACATTGCCAGGCTAGGGGTGTAGCTCCAAGGGAGAGCCTTACTTAGCATGTATGTGCGAGGCCGTAGGTTCTATGCCCAACACTGCAAAGCTTTATCAACAGACACAGGTCACTCTCACTGAGATTGCCAACTTCCCTGAGTACATTCTCCTCTTAAACTCGGCTCTTTTACCACAAAATATTGACAGAATTATTGCTTGTGAATGAATACCTTGCAAATGGTAGGAATTCAAAAAGTGTTTATTGGATAAATAGCTACAGAAAGATCTCCCACACACACACACCTAAAAAACTGTCCCCATCCTGTGGTAACTGCACAGCCTGACCCCTGGGTGACGGCTCAAAGACCCATCAGGTTGGCCAGCCAGGGCAAGTCTCAACGGGGGCTTCTCTAGCGAGCCTGTGATTGCCAAATTCAAAAGAAAGTGGGAGCGTCTGTGAGACAAAGGGGCGCTTTGCCTTCCCTGGCTCTATACCTGCCTCGAGGATGATATCACGGATGCAGGATGAGCAGGTGCTGTGCTCCAGTCCCGTTCCGACCTGCAGGCTGCCCTCCACACTCTCGCCCATCTCCTTCTGGCAGTCACGGCAGCTCCTGAATGAAGCATTCTTCTCCTGCCAGAAACCATTTTAAGGTGGCAGAGTGGTGCCTAGGTGGCGAGTGGTTGTTTTTATTTTTATTTTATTTTGTTTTTAAGTGAAAGCACAGAGTCTAGACAGCACAAGTTGAGGGAACCCCCCCCCCTTCACATACAGTGTGACATTGTTCCTGTCCTTTGAGGAAAATAAGAACTCCACAAATTCCAAGTGAGAGAAAGAATCAGACTTCTGTTTCTAAAGGGAAATCATCTTTACCTTTAGCAGTTTTAGGCCCTTTCTGGGGGTTTCAGCCAAGCCGCTTTCTCCAGCCACTTGCCCAGCTCTAGTATGTGATTGTTCTCTGGACACAGGGATTCCAGAGAAAGGGACTAATGTGACCGGGGGGGAGGTCGGCACTGCTGTCCAGCGGTGAGCCTCATTTCCTGGTGGGGAGCTTCAGCCTGCTGTGTGGCCGTTCTGCTGCCTCGGGGCTGCAGGGTCGTCCCCTCCCGCCAGCACGGTTATGGCGAGTTTCCCCCAGCAGAGTTCACATCTGGCTTTGCCCCTGCTGGGATCACCTGGCCTAACAAGGAGAGGGCCCTGTCCCGGACAGCTGCATTCTCTCCGTGCTGCTCATTTCTTGTGCACTTCTCAGTCCAGCTGTCCACTCTCTTGGCCTCGTTCTGGTTTCTTCCTCGCATGATGGAATCTGAGAACTTTCTAAATAGTTCAAACCTGGCCTCAGCTGTTTCCCTTGGTGAAGAACTGAACATAGAGGGAGATGGAGAACAGAGAAGAGAAAGAAGGGAGAAGGGTGGGGTACAAAAGAGAAGGAGAGGGAGAGGGAGGGAAGAGAGAGAGAGCGAGAGACTTGGAGAGGGAGAGGGAGGGAAGAGAGAGAGAGCGAGAGACTTGGTAAGCCTGTGCTGTGTATACCATATGGGTGTATTTACCTGCCTTCCTCCACCCTGGTGTGACCGGAAGTCAGAGGACTGTGCTCACTAGCCTTTAAGTCCAGTGAGCTTCTAGAAGTCATTTGGTCACTCTTGCCATGTCCACAGTAATGTCGTGGGAAGTCTGGAGGGGGTGGAGTTGGGTGTTCAGCCATCCTGCCAGGCTATGTCAGCGGTGACCCCAGGTGGCGCCCTCCTCAGATGGAAGCTTACACTGATGCTCCTGAAATCTGAGCTGGCAAAGGACCAGCCCAAAGGCAACCCCACTCGATCCATTGGCAATTCCAATCTGGACACCGCACATGTGTGAATGGTGTGGTGCAGGACTTTCTTAGCCTGATGGACAAGAACTGTCTGTGAACAGGGGATGCAGTGATGTAGCTCAGTGTATGAGGCCCTGGGTTCGACACCCAGAAGAGAAGTCTCTTAGAGCATGGGGAAAGTCACGAAGCCCAGAAGGAAGAGGGCCGCAAGAAGAGGTGAGCGTGAGAGAGAGGGAGGCTGGGACCTGCCAGGACAAGGGACAGCCAGGTCTTGCAGTCTTTACAGCCGAGCATCCCCTTTACCCCAGGACAGGCTGAGGGTTCCAGGGTTCCAGCCTGCAGCCTGTGAGCTGCCTGTGCAGGAGCCCACGTGGACGCGGCTGTCCAGGCAGTGATCATCAAATGCTAAGTCTAACAGCAAGGAGGAGGGGAAGTCCCTTGCATTCATGCACCGAACAAAAGCTACATTTTGCAAAAGAGAATGACTCAGGCGTCCCCTGAGTTAGCAGTAGGTGAAAGCCATACCTGCGTCTCTGCTGTGATGTTTAAACACATGTAGAAGATCAAAGACATTATTACCTATTCCTGGGCACAAAGAGTTTCAAGCTATTTAGAGCCTCTCTTCTATTAAAGAATGGCAAATAGGATCATGACCAGTGACATCTGCCCATGCAAAATTATTTTTAAATCTGTGTGTATTAAATACAGAAGGTTAAAATTAATACTTTCATGGCTTTTCTTCAAGTGAAAAGGAAAATCAAGCTTAGTATAATTCCTTTGAAGGAAAAAGAGTCCAGCTGTTTAATATCTTATTTGACTCTGGCTTTTTCTATCCACTACTTTCCTTTGCATTGTTAAAAGTCAAGAAGCAGTTTGTGATGCTTTGACTCTCAGCTGGGTGCTAGAGAGATAGCACCACCACCAAAATCTCTTAACCAACATAAAGCCAGAGAACTTACCTACATGTCTTAGATTTTTGATGGTTTGGAAGGTTCTCATTCAATCAGAATTTGCTATTTACTTTGATGTTTTATTAAAAATTCTGTCTGTCTGTCTGTCTGTCTGTCTGTCTTTCTCTCTGTCTCACACACACACACATATACACACATGCACGCATGTGTGCACACATAAAGATACTTCCATCCCCGGAACCACTGTGCTGTTTGGATACTAAGCATTATCTCTACAGTCGATAATCTGTTAACAGATGTTCAGCAGTTAGCTCTGGATTACCTGCATCTTCTGTTCTTTTCTGGTGTTTTATTGTTTCTGGAATTTCACCAACCCAGACTGTACATGGGGGTCACTTTCAAACAGCTCAGCACATCGGGATATGTGGCTGTGGATGACAGGTGACGGATAATGATCCTAAAGGCATTGGCCGGAAATTTTACATGTGTGAACTCATCCCCAACATGGTGTGCAGTTCAGGAACTGTTGTCCCATTTCATAGATGAAGAAACAGTGGCATGAGGAGTTCAGCAACTTGCTGGGATCAGGAGTGCTTTGGAGCTGAGTTTCCAGCCCAGGTGCCATCTCCAGCATCCCCTTTGCCCTCTCAGTAGGAACTCAGGAAGTACTGACCCAGTAGAGGTATCGGCATTTCCCTGGAAGACCGCTTCCCTTCCTTCCATGCCTCCGGCTGGTGGGACACATTGCCTCCAAGGTGTCGATCCTGGGGTGGTCACCCATGGATTGCACATCTGTGGCAGGTTAGTGAGGTCAGCAGCTGCGGGGTCCTTTAGAGAGTGTGTGTGAGTGGGCCCCAGGCCAGTCAGACTCGCAGCTGTGCTCAGGTTCTTTGTCTACTCTAACGTTTGTTTAGGGAGCTGAAAGTCCCTCTTTCCTCTGGGCTCCTCTGTGCTCTGCAGATCCCCCCACTCTCACCCTCCCCAGAACATCTTTTCTGGCCTCTGACCTCTGTGCATACCTGGGTACCTAGGGAAGCCCTTGTTTTTGATTTCTCCTTTCAGGCCATTACTACATAGGGCACAACTTGATGCCCTCAAAACTTGTGAGATGTTGTGCAGTCCTATCCTAGGGGCAGCCATCCTGGGCCCAGGACATTTGTTCTGCCTTGTGATACCCTGTAGGCTCTAGTGGACTTTAACACTGTTTTCTTGCAGCGCTGGACCTGCCTAGCTTAGTTTTAGAAGTAAAGTTTTCTCTACATTATAAAGACTACTTGCTTCTAAAATTACTATTTGGATTGGAGGAAATGACTGTTTCTTGTTATTCATGGTAGTTTCATAAAGTCACTACATACACTGAACTAGCAAAG